AAAAATAACTCTCAAACTGCACCAGATTGATGCTTTTAACTTAAATATTTAAAAAAAATCTTCCCGGGGGGATGCTCCCCACTCATAAAAAATAGCACTTTACCCCTGCCTATATGCCGTGAGCTGATTATCGAGCCTTCATTGTAGTAGTCGCGGGTGTACTGTGTGTTTGCGTGTGGGGAGTGTTGCAGTAGAACATTTCACTGTAGCGCCCCTGGTGCTCGCGCTTTTGTGCGTGCTCAATAGTGCCCGTAATAGTGTTCACTTGAGTCCAGCACCTCAGCACCCCCACTCAAAATACCTTCCCGCGCCTCTGCGCATCATAAACACGTCGGATAGTGAAAGTGCAGTCGGATTCTCTAAGTACCGCAGTCTCTTCTCCTAGGTCCTTTTGAATTCTCCTATCCACTATCCCTTAACCCCGTGACGTTTCACTCAGAGGTCAAGGAATAGGAGATAGGGTTAGACGTTAGGAGCTGATTTTTGGATTATCCGACCACAACCCTCATCTAGAGAATTCGAACGGCACCTATCATGGCTGCCACTGAGGGACTTCCGGGTCATTTCACTAGGTTAGGAAGGTTCCTAAACTAAAGTGACAATTCAACCACAACCCTGGTCTGTCAACAACATTTACTCAAACTGTCTTATAAGCCCCTCCCGACCACATTCAGTGTTTTCTTAGTGAAGACTAATCTGGGAGCCAAAAATTGGCTCTTTTTTTTTTATAGAGATTGTAACATCTCCAGCAGTAAACACTTTAAGAAGGTATACCATTTGAGTTACATTTTGGTATGTGGCACCAAAATCCCACAAAGATGATATAAAACAAACAAAAGAAAAACAGCAGCCAAAAATCTGACAGAGAGGGTTCTCACCAAGTTGTCGAGTTCAGGGTCCTCGCTGAAGAAGGGCTTGCCCTCTTTCTCCTGATTGCGGACAAAGTTCTCAATGTCCACGTCGAAGCTGGCCGAGGTGATGCAATCAGAGCTGAGCGTGGACTGTTCACACTTCTCAAACAGCAGGGCCAAGAGAGGGAACAGGGGGTGCCTGTGAGGTGCGGAAAAACAAACGGCATTTAGTGTACATGAAAACAAATACTGACAGATACCACATCATTTTAAAATGAATGAAAACCACAAAAACACACTCTTAACATTATTAAATACCAGATGGTACATTAGAGTCACATGAACAAAGGAGAGGACTTGTCATGTGATATTTCCTACTGGCTAATGTGAAGGAATGTACACTGATTTACGAATACGGGGTGTTGTACACACACACACCGATATATGGAGGCTTTGTCCACGTCCATGGGTGTCTGTGGCTCTGTGGGGGCTGGGCTGGGCACCTCTGCCAACGTCCCCTCAAGATACTTCTGCTCGGAATCTCCGTCTACCTTTACTACAGCTTGCATCTGTTGGAAAAAGGAAACAAAGAAGTGAGAAAAGAAAGCTCCAGAGTAACAGAAACAGAGGGAAGAGGTGAGAAGAGAGGCGGAGAATGAGAGACACAAAGACATCATGTGAAGACCAAGAGTAGCTGGAGGCAAAGCTTAACACTGAGCCTTGTTTTAATACGAAGCCTTTAGAAAGTCATGAGGGCATGGTCGGAAATCCACAAAAGCTATGCATTTTTCACAACACTAAATGCTTTTGAAAGAACAATGAAAAGTCTTTAATAATGCAGAAGGAGGTGTTGATACGAGTTATAAGTCCTGCATCAGCACTCTTTGATGCAAGTTACGGAACTGAGTTTATTCCTGTTTCCCTGTAATACTTGTGACCTGAGAATGACTGCCATACATCTCCGACAAAATAACATGTCTTCATTCATTCATGCCCTCAGGTCTTTTGTCATCGCTCTGTGAGCACACTATAGCTAGACTACTTGCAGAGTGTTGCCTTCAAATTACAATGCAAGCCTACACTTATCCAGAACCTGTGTGTACACAGACATTTACAAATCACCTAATGTAAATTAATATGTGGCTGTAGCCTCCAAACCCTCCACTAGAGGCTTACTCATCGAGTGGGAGCCAGGTTTCTTATTTTCACACATTTCAACCCCGTGCCTGCCTACTCGCAACCCAGGATCTTTTCCAGGACCATAACTCTCATCCCATACCATGTGACTGAATGAACAATGTATGAGATTGAGCACAAAGTAGCTACAAATAATCACTTGCTTGAGGTGGAACATTTCTCATTAGTCATAGATCATTTTCAGCTCTCAACACCCCCAAATTTGGCACTTAATGTAAGCAATTTATATAAGCTCATAAACAGAAAGACTAGTCAGAAAAATAGGGCTTTATTCATCATCAGTATATCTCATAAAGTGATTTTTTTTGCAGACAGACAGACAAGCAGGCAGCAGATTATTAAAACTGATGTAATAGCATTAACATCGCCTGTGCTCTAGTGTTACATGCAAGTGTTTCTCTTTGTTTAACAATCCAGTTCAACTTATCACTACTACAAATAACTGGGGATCCATGGGCAAAGAGTGACAATGCTGACAGCTGAAGTCAGAAACATTTAGGTGTTTTTATTTCAGAAACGGTCTTTTAATGTTGCGGTTGACTATCTTTTTTTTAAAACTTGCAAAAAAAAGGGCAGTTCAGGAACTTGTAGAAGGTTGTGAAGGCTTCAGGGTCCAACCCAAATGCCTCCCTGTCACCCACCTGCTGCTCTCCCTTTGGGTACTTGTCTATGGAAATCGACTGGGCTGCCATCACTTCACTGCAGATGCTGCAAACACCTGGGCATTATAGAGAGGGACAGGTGGCCAACCTACACAATACACATAGTTTCAGTTAGACTACCTGTTAAACATTCCTGGAGTGTAGGCAAAACTTTAAAAAAATGCACCGTGAAAAAGTCAGAGTTTAAGTTATCATTAGCTTTGTAAATACACTTATGTGATCAAGGGGAAATTAAGCACTGTTTCCATGCTACAAAACAACGTATGCTGAATCAATAACAGACAACTTTGGGTGAGCATAAAACAGACACTATGATCAAATATTTACTCCTGAATATGACCCAAAAGTGTGAAGCATTTGAAGGACATGTAGAGAAGTCATACCATAAACTATGTGGTTTTGATGTTTGCACACGCGTTGGGCCATAACAAGAGAATATGGGGGCACACAGAAAATACGCTAAGGAGGGGAGGTTAAATATGAGTGGATAACGTTACTGATTTATTTCAATATATCGCTTCAACATTAATAAGCATTTCTGTTTACACCAATATCAGAAAACAGCGAGGGTTGAGCTATATACCCTAGGTGCACTGTTATAATAATAGTTGGCAGTTATAAGGCCACCCTGCAACTGCTGTTAAACACACACACACCACGACGGGCTTAGCTGTTAGCCCTGTGTTAGCTACCCACCCTTTGTGGCGGCAAGGAGAGATACAAGTGTAATAAAGCCTTTGGGTTAACACCTTAACCCCAATGTACTATAACGTTCGTGTTATTCGCAGACTAAGCAGCTCGGCGGGAATAAGCCTTGTTTTCCACAGTATTTGTTGGCCAGCATGTACCGTTAACGCCACATTGGCGTTAGCTCACGAGCACAATAAAGGTTACCTAAAAGAGGACCGTATGTCCGAGACACAGCTGACGTTAGTCAGGTACTGTTAACTTATTCGTGTTTCGTATACTGTACGGTGAGGCCAAATGTGACGCGCCATATTTAGCAAGGGGGATCACTGCCAAGAAAACAAGCTAACCTAGCTAGGCAGGTACAAAAAAAAGACCCCTCTGCGGATGGATACGAAAGATGTTGTCTCAAAGAGCGTTAGCATTGCTCATTTAACATTTCAAATGAAAATGCATTTCTTGAAAGCAATACACACTAATTCGACTGCAATGATATTAAGAAGCATTGGCTGCACATCAGGCTAGCCTCGTTGATCGTCAAACCCTTCCCACACAAGTCAATCAATCAAGCAGGGACAGCTGCCCTTTCCTTCCCCTCCCCTCCGCGCTAACGTTACGACTGTCGGGCCTCGTTTCTAGCTCTCGCCCTTTGCTTTTCCACAATCCTCCTCTGCCCCCAAAACGCCGACATATTTTTTTACCCCCCCCCTCCCTTGTATACAGATTGTATTATTCTTTCCGGAGCTCTAGCGCTTCTGCCTTCCTTCCAAAAACACCCTCCGCTGCCCTGACTAGGTCCGCACTGCTCGCCCCGGGGCATTTTTGCGTGCGGCCCAGATCTTTTGATTGATAGGGAACGGAAAAAGAGGGATTTTGAGTGACAGCTTACCTGAGTGCCAATCTTCGTCACACTGACAAGCGGCTGCAGCAATCGGGACCCGCAGTTGTCGCGTTGCGTCATCACGTAAGGGCACGCAGGGGCGCTCGGCTCATGAATATGTATAAGGTGGGCGGAGACATGACGTCCTGCTGCCTTTCCCTCTGTGCCCTCCTGGGTATTTTGCTTGCTAACGCAATTCACTGACCCCGTTTACAGAACAGATTTTATGTGTATTTCCAGCTATATATTTCTTAATGCATAATTTCTCATTATATTCACAACAAAAGCTGATTGTTTACTCCTAAAAGTTATAATCGATATAGCTGGGATAATAGGGACAGTATTTGCAAGCAGGCAGGCTAAGGGAGTGAAAATGTGTAATAATTACAATAGAAAGAGATAAACCACTTGCACACTCAGCTCTATTCAAATGACCCCCTTAGGCAGGAAAGCTGCATAAAAGCGTTTGATCTTTGTCTATCCCTTCATAGGCCTATTCCTTTATTAAAAACAAAACAGAATCAGACCAGGCAAAACAGATATTTTTAATGTATGTACTTTATTGATATTTTTAACAGGATATTATTATGCATAACCGACAGGTAATCACAATAAAAAGGTCTTCACCATCACCATGATCTTTAAACAATATAAAGGTTTGCAGCGAAGCCAACTCGTCTAGTGTCTGATGGAGGAGGGCTGCGGGAGGCGGAATTTAGCCATCTCTACATCCAGGTCTGCAAACGTGAAGGGGGTGTAGTTGTGGTGCTGGATGTTTTTATAAGTGCTGTTGTCAAAAGGCTCATTGGGCTCTGGAGGTGCTGCAGCCTCTGCAAAAGGAGGGGAGAAAAGGCATGTAAGAAAACAGAGTGTGAAAATAGAGAGCTGGCAAATATTCCTGCTGTTTATGCATTCATTAAAATGAAAAGTTATTCATATTCATACTACTAGGTATCCTCCTTTGTCCTCATCCTAGTTGTTATTAGGAGTTGATTTAGCTTTTCTGATAAACTACTGAGTGGGAAAAAATGTGACTTGCTCTGTAAACATTTGAGAAGATTTTTTTTAAAGAAACATTTACATATTCACACATGAGACAAAGGTGGTTTATTGTGGGGATTTCCTATGGTGGTAGGCTGCATTACCCCCAACAGCGTGGAGACACACTGGTGTGGAAAGGATCATGTCTGAGGGGAAAGTATGTGAAGGTAAAGTGCTAACAGACTCAAGCCAGCTCAAAGTTGAGAAATAATGATACTGGCATAAAAATGGATTGAGAAACAACAGTAAGTCCAAATCATAGTGTATGGGAGAAAAGGTTTTGGTGTCTTGGATTAAACAAAGGTGCATAATGTTCTTCAAACTACTTTCACATCTAAATCTGTTCGGAAAATCAGGCTGTGACTGTAAAGTTATAAACAACATGTGAGACAGATATTACACAGGTCAGAGAAACACAGTTAAGACACATTTACATGTTTTCATTAATCAACACCATGAACATCGCAAAGGCAATCAGGTAAAGAACTATTTCATGTAGTCTAAAAAAAAGAAAGACATTACAAAATGGTGAGATTAATGACAAGGTGAGGTGGGTGTTCCAGGAAGGAGAGTTTCACCATTGGTCAGACAAGTGTTGGCAGACAAGTGTACTTAAGGGCTGTAGTTACAGGAATGTTTAGGAAAACATTGGTTGGTGGATGCTTATCAGTTCCACATACAGCACTCTTATGACTGATCTAATAGTTTTTGTTACTGTGTAATCCTGCTTCCTGAAACACTTCCTCTGACACCATCAAATCCCAGCTTGTACTCGTCCGGCTGCTGTAAGGGACACGTCTTCACTGTAACACAATACGGCCATGTGCACTTTAACATTACTGTTAGCAGTAACATTACATGGCACGATCAATCCAAACAATGGTATCATTACCTGTAACCATTACCATTAACTCAGAGAACTTTAAACCAAGTTTCATATGAGCAAATGACAAGAATGCGTCAAATTGAACAACATATCAAAGAGAGTCAAATATGAAGAGAAATACTCTGGGTGTGAAGATGGATTTTGCAACTGCGGGGAGGCTAAGCGAGAAAGACTTAAAAAGGTTAAAGATACGTGGTCGATTCCTGACTCAGAAAAAGGCGGGGAGAAAGTAGAAGCAAAGTGAAGGATTGTCACAGGTTTGCTACAGCCACTTCTACTTGATTATACGTGGTCAACATAGTCATGCTGGTCGAAGACAGAAAAGTCTATATTTCAATTAGAAAAAAAGCAAGCAAAGGTAACAATTAAATGCACCAAAAGCCCAGCAAGCATACTACACATGCACTGCATCCACCCCATGCTTAACCAGCCAAACTGAAGGCCACGGCCATGGGAGGTTAGCTGGGAGAGTGATGAAACAAGCAAAAGAAGAATCTGTGGAGGCAACAGCACCTACTGTATGTGAGGGAGTTAACACCTGATAGCAGTACATAACAGTACGCTGAATGTTTTGTGAAAGATAGAGATAAGTAATGTCATCTGTATGGCTCACAGATCCACAGAGAGGAAAGAGAAGTAAAGATTTGGGGAGTTGTAGTGTGTACCCTCAGATGCTTCAACTGGGCCCTCGGCCTGCAGCTCCTCTCCTGCAGCTTCAGCTATGACTGGAGCTGTGTCCACCAGATCTTCTGGGCTCTCCTCAGGGACAGAACCTCCAGCTGCAGCCTCAGCAGCCACTTCAGTGGGGGCAGCTTCAGCTTCTACAGGCCCTGCAGCATCTCCTGCAGGGGCAGCTTCAGCTACAACTGCAGCCGGGTCCACCAGCTCCTCTGTGCCCTGCACAGGCTCAGTGTCTTCAACTGCAGCTTCTGCAGGGGAGGCTTGAGCTAAAACTGGAGCTGGGTCCACCAGCTCCTCAGGGGCAGAAGATTCTACTCCAGCCTCAGCGGGGGCAGCTTGAGCTATGGCAGGGGCCGGGTCCACCAGGTCCTTGGTGCTCTTCACAAGGGCAGAAACTTCAGCTACAGCCTCAGCAGCCACTTCGGTGGGGGCAACTTCAGTTTCTACAGACTCTGCAGCAGCTTCTACAGGATCAGCTTCAGTAGCTTTTACAAGAGCTTCGGCAGCTTCTGCAGGATATTCAGCAGGTGGGGGCTCTGTGGCATATACACGAACATCTGTTTGGGCTTTTTCTGAAGTTGAAGCTTCAATCACAACTTCGGCTGAAGTTTGTACCTGGTCATTTTTTATTAATTCTGGAGCGGGTTCCACTTTAGCTGAAACTTCTGGGCTGGTCATAGTGTCCCCGGTGGCAGTGCAGATCTCAGGAGCTGGGTCTACCAACTCCTCAGAGCTAACACTGGGTGCCTCGATGGTGGCTGGAGCTTGAGCAGCTTCTGCTGCCGCTGCTGAACAGGCAGGAGTAGCTTCAGGTTCTGGGGGAACTTCCTTCTTCACTTCATTTGTGCCACCCTTTACATCTGATGCAACCTCCTGGACTTCTGCTCTTTGTTGCACACTGGAATACGACACTTCTGGTAGGGAGGTCTTGGTTTCAGCCTTTTCTAAATTCTTGTCCTCAGAGTCAGAGTCCGAGTCCGAGTCGCTGGATGATGAGGAGGATGATGATCCATCAGCTGCAGGATCAAGCGGCTCAGAGAAGGCTGTGGCAACTGCGTCTGCATCGTCTGTAGTGGAGGCTGCTGTGTTGATGATAACCTGAGCAGCAGCTACAGCTGTTTCTGCAGCTGCAATGGGGCTCGCCACAGATTCAGTTGCACCTACACCCTGTGTTAGGAAAACTCCAGGCTCTGAAAGTCTAACTGGAAAGGTCACAGCTGTCTTGTAGGCTAGCAAGGTTGCTCTCTCATCTTGAACCTCTGCTGCTGAGGAAATTGTAAATAGGATAGGAGTGGTTGAATAAGAAAACATTTGCAGTAAATTGTTATGACTTCCACAGTGAATCTAAGTTCACTTGATCCTATACCCATTTATGCTTTCCTAGAAATGTCCAAATAAAAGAAAGAATTACAACACAATATTAACATATCAAAATACAATAACTTAAGATGGTTTGTACTGTACACTACTTATACGCAAAATTAGACACAATCAGCATCAAAAGCTACTAAGAATTACATTTTAACAGTGAATTACTCAGAATTGAATGGATACAGGTACATTTCCTGCACTGTCAAAAAAAACAAGTTACACGTTAAGGTTTAAAATCAGAATAACTTTATCATAAATTATAGATGTGTACGTAATATAAAAGAAAAAAAGGAAAAAGATAATTAGTACAAAATAGCAGTGAGCCAGGAAAACTTTAAACCTTGAATTTCAACATTTCTAAAATGATCAGATGTATAGGGCCTTACTCTTGCCTGCAGCCTCTCCCCTCTCAGCTGACTGTGGGGGCCTCTCTGCTGACTGAGGGGGCCCTTCAGCCCGGGAGCAGAACAGAGCAGCTGGGCGGCTCCTCAGGATGCACCAGCTCTCCTGGTGGAGACACTGCGGAAAAGCAAACACACAGACAGTTGCATTTAACATCGAAATAGCAGCAAAGACAGAACACGGACTGTAACCCTTTATCAAATGTTTTTCTTCCAAAAAAAGCTAAGGTAAAGGTAACATCATTGTATTGTGGGTATGTTTTGTATTTGTAATTTTAGCCAACAACAGATTCTTTTAAACATGATAAAAGTATAGCACATCGTACAGGTCACATATAGGATTAGCAGCCGCTGCTAGCCTAGATGGCGCTCATGATATTAAACACTTAACAGAATGTAAAATACCATGAAATGTCATAAACAGGAAAATATATACATTCGTAACGTAGCATTTGGTGTTTTGACATGCAATTATTTATGTCATGCGGTTTTAAGTTATGTAGCCATATCACTGTGTGTACACAGAAAAGTAGCCAACTCCATTCTCGATGGGAAAAAGGGCGTGTGTTAAAGCTCCGTGATGGCCTCTTCCATCCGGTAGTTTCGAGTTTTCGCTTTATTAACAGGTTTTATTTTGAAGCGGTCATAATATAGTTATGGTAAACGCGACTCTGGTAGCTCGGGTGTGTGGTTAAGGTTAGAGAAAATGCTTTGCCCTTTTCCCGCTGCAGCTACAAGAAGCCGTGGGGTCAGTGCTAGGGAGACCTGAGACGAGTCGTGTATTTGGGTCCACTGCGACGGAGTAACTGTGACTGAACCCTGCTCAGAGTGCTATTCAAACAGACTACATGCAGACAGCTGGGAGAACATTCAACCATTATTACCTTCAGGGAACCCAGTCGCCCTAACCGCAGCAAGTAGGTCGCCATGTTGTGTTCACAATGTTATGCTCCGGCCGGAAACTGTTAGTAACCCCAACAGTTCCGCTTCCACAATGATAAGGGTGATATCAAGTATACTACGTCATCGAGTGGCGCCACTCGATGACGTAGCCCAATCCAAACCACTCCCTCGTACCTACCCCACCGTGACGGAGTGAACTCCGTCTGTAGCCACACTCGCAGCTCAACGAGGCTCCCTCCTGTCAGGTGGAGAGGGAGTAAATACAGCAGCAAGCTTTGGGACGGACTCCCCTCTCTCCGGCAGAAACAGGAAATGCCGTAACTGTATGTAACAACGGTTTCAAATCAGCATCTCTTTGACAAAAAATGTAAATTAATAGCTCAAATAAAACTCCAAACATCTTTAATTGTGCTACTTTTTTGTAAAGCTCTTTTAGTTTTAAACCTGATGTTTATAAGTTTCTTAGTTTTTGCAACAGTCTGTAAATATACACAACTTTATAATAAAATACACACTTAGGTATGATCCTAAGTTAAAAACATATGAGGTTATCATGAGGTTGCAGTTTATCAGTGGATGCTTGCTGGAACTACCTGTAAACAGCGTGTTTCCTGACGGAAACACACAGCGTGACTCCGGTCAGGTAGAGACCGGTCTCAAGTCAGCACCGCTGCAGACTCGCTGTTTGAGGGCTTGATAGCCCACTCCCCCTCCACACCGCTCCTCATTCGTTGGTTTGGAACAGCCCTCAATATGGCGGACCCTCCGCGTGAACGCGCAAACGGAGGGGTAGGGTGTAGGGGGCGGTTTGGGAATGGGCCTCAGTATACTTGAAATAGTAGGCTTGTTTGAGACGAGCTGCGGCTCGCCTCGAAAGTAGACGAGAATAGCCGATCGCAGCCAGGGGAGGTCTCAAAAAGCTCGCCTGAAGTCGGACAGCTCGGGTTGCGTTCCGATAATCCAAAAATCAGCTCCTAAATTCTAACCCTATCCTTGACCTCTGAGTGAAACGTCACAGGGTTAAGGGATAGTGGATATGAGAATTCAAAAGGATTTAGGAGAAGAGACTGCGGTACTTTAGAGAATCCGACTGCACTTTCACTATCTGACGTGTTTATGGTGCGCCAGCGGACGTCATTTTGTGCGTCTGCTGCTGTGGGGAAACTATGGAAACTACAGTTTTCTATACAGAGGACTACAACATGGATGTTTAATAAGAACGACGGACTCATCTAGAGACTCTGCACCGTGCTCTGATGCTGTTGCTTTATGCTTTATGAACAACAGAGAAACATATTCTTCATGACCAAAGTTGGAATTGAAATAAAAAAGTGAAACTTATGCTCGTCACCCTCTCCCTCCGGTCCACATTAACACAAATGATCCCAATACGTATGATTGTATGAAAAGATCTTAAAATCAATACAAATGTATTTATTATAAACGTTAGTCCTTAACATCTATCA